GATCAGCACAGCAGGCATTATCAATCTTCACGAGGGGAAAAGAAGGAACCCACTACGACTAGAATCTCCAAGAATGGTAATGATGGGCAACTAGATGACTCATTTGATCTATCGATAAGGAACTTTTGGAGGAACTTGGAGTCTATTCTGGGAACAACAATGAGCAGCAACTTGATCGTACTGATCGTACGGGGTTTGTATCATCAGTAAACAGCGATATGGACAAAAGGGCAGGGGAAGGCTCAACAAAAGACAATCACTCCTATCCCCAACAACACCAACAACCATCCATGTATACACAGTTACAACAGAACTACAGCTCCATTGGATCTACACAAGGGACACGAGCACCATCATCCTATTATTCATCCAATGGAACAAGTCCACCTCCAAAACAAGACGGTATTCAATGGGGTAAGTGAAATGACTTTTTTATAAAATCAATAAACTCATGGATTATTATTATTATTATTTTGGGGGAATAGCACGGGCTTTGTATGATTATCAATCAACGGATGGTTGTTTGACATTCTTACGCGGAAATTGGTTAGCGATTGTACGTATAGAAAGTGATTCTTGGTGTTTGGCTTATTTATGGGATGAAACTACTGAATCTTTATCAACAACTTGTGGTTATGTAGCTAGTCATTTGATTCAATTTGTTCAATAAAATCACTTTTTTTTCATATATGTATGAGCTTGTTCGTAAAACCCCGCCAGATATCTTTTTTTTTTTTTTCTTCTTCTTGCTTCTGATTCCAATAGGTACACCAACATGGTAAAATAATAATAATTAAAGTAAAAGGTAACAGGGATCAAGATAAGCATTATTTTACTGACGCATATCACTTTTATTATGAATGACTCTTATTACTATTACTGTTATTCACAATGATGGTTTTACGCTTTTAGGCATCTCACCGTAAACTCTGGTCTTCACAAGATGAAAAAAGACTCCAAGACATGGCATTGCAAGGATGGACCTATGAACTCATATCTGTAGAGTTGGGTCGTACACCAGGTGCCTGCAAATCGCGTTTGACTATGCTCAAAAATAAAAATAAGTTTCAGGTATTAAAAAAAAGACACGTGAAACAATATGCATATAGACTTTCTTATCTCTCATATATATATATATACTTATACATGATAGCTACAAGAACAACAGAAAGAACAACAGGAGGTGCAGCAACAGGGACAACAACAGGAAGAACAAAAACTGGAACAACGACAAGAACAACGACATGAACAGCAGGAAGAGCAGCAGGAACAACGACATGAACAACAACGACACACAAGAACAACAGGAACAACAGGAACAGCGGCAAGAACAACAGCAAAACAGCAAACAACACAACAACAGCAGGAACAACAACAACAACAACAACGAAAAAAGGAACAACTAACACGGCAAGACAACAACAGCAACAACAACAGGAATACAAAGGAACAACAATCAAAGAAGACAGGGAAATCAAGTGGACCATGGTCGAATGAAGATGAACTATTACTGGTTCAGCTACGCCATCAAGGTCCCCTTCAATATATTGTCGATGACTGTCTGTGCAACGTAGTATTGGATCTATTCAACATCATTATGCCGCCATGAAGATCAGAAGGTTGCTTCCTTGGAGATTATTATGAATAAAAAAAAAAGTGTCATCTTATGACCCTATTATCATTGATCTATACGATTTCCTTTTTTTATTTTTGGATGTATAGATTGGTAGACCTTTTGGACCAGCAACCATATGTCAGAATAATCACTGATGATAGTAGCGATGATGATGATGATACATGTACCCATTAAAGTAAGGAAAGAAGAAAAAAAAAAATATATCAATCCCTATTTCTCATATTGTTTTAATCTATTTCTAGGATACTGAAGAGATGGTGTGGTAGAAAGGATGGCTGGAGATATGGAAAAGTTACGAATCAAGACATTGGACAAAGATGATCCCTAATATTAGTTAGCCATTGATATACCTATTTTGTTTTGATGTTGTTTAAAGATCTAATTTTTTTATTGTCATACATAAATATTACATATCTATATCTATTTAAAGATGAGAAGAGAGAATGGATGGATGATTTCTAATGTACAAACGGAAGATAAAAAAAAATGATGATCTAACCAACTAACTAATCTAAAATTCAGTGGCAAAACTAGTAAAACAAGTGATTTAGTTCGATATGTAGATATTGATTATATCTCTTACCATCTTTCTGAGTTTTTCTACCAGGATAATATATAGCAAATGAAAGTCTGAATTGGCGAAACTTCCAGGATTAAGACAATGAGTGCCTTCATAATTAATTCAAATTTTCACAATGCAGCCAGATAAGCTAGAATGGCATTCCAGAAAAGAAAAGGTGAAGTAGTTTTCATTCTATTCTACCATTTTTTTTTCTATATGACATACTGATTGTGGTAAGGGATATAATCTCATAGCATGATCATGACTCCAATAGATCGGTCGTACGGAGAGTGGTAGTGGGCATAGGTGACCTTGATCAATCAATGTTCGTACCACTACAAGTCATGTAGAAGGGAAAAAAAAAAGAAAGAAAAAGAGTGAGTACGAATCATTATCAAATAGTTTCAACTTACATGCTTGACAGGTTCGGGTTCAACTTGAGTATTTGGATTCAAAAGAACATTTCGCCATAGTCTATTGAGGATATCTTCTCTAAAGATCACAATATCTTGAGTACAAAAACGGATTCTATACAAAATCAACATATAAAAATAATATCAGACCATAAGGGTTTTTTGTTTTACCTGCATGGATTGGTGGCAAAAGTAAGTCGTTTCACCTTTTGATGCATTCGTGAAATAAACATATCTGGAATAGCTGGTTGTGGTAATATACTGCCACCCCATGGGTCACGAGATCCAGGTACAAAAACAAAGTTGGAATATGTCGCAATGGATGTGAATTCGCCAATCAAGTCTGCCAATGCCATAAAGTTTTCTATATATATATATATATATAAATCAGCATCCCTTTCATTTTTTTTTTCTCTTTCTTTTCTTTCGAAATTACCTTTATTGTGTTTATCCCACTATTGATATGAGCTCGACTTGAAAATTACCAATAAGAATAAATGGTATCTCTTTCAGTTCCATATTTTTCGAATATACGAAGGGCAATCACCTATAAAAATGGTTCTATTTAGTCATTTTGTATTTTTTATATTTCCCTTTCGATTCAACAATTACCTTTGGTTGATCCAGAAAGACATCTGATAATATAATAAATGATTTGATCTTCTTTGTTTCTTCCAATTGTAATTGTGTCTATGGAAAAAGAATCAGACCCCATCAATAAGATTATACACAAATCACTTTTCCCTTTTTTTTATATCCTTACTTCATCCACCATCAGTTTCGGTAAGCTAGTAAAGTCAACATGAGGGAATAGCATACTATAAAAAGAAAAAAAAGAGGATTCTTAGGATACAGAGACTATCAATAATTATGATTTTTTTTACTCTGTCATTATCCTTGGTTCTGGAGGAGG